TTAGAAGGCATTATGTGGGGGAACTTTACAACCACGGAGTTGACCACTTAGGAGAGGAGGTAATTGTGACCCCATGAAGGTTAAGTTGAAATTATAAAAGATAGTAGAGTTTCCAATAAGCTTTTTACTCTTCCTTTTGTTAAAACTTCTACAAACAAAAAAAGCACAATAGAATATTGAAATATAAAAACTTTATCAAATCAATTCCTACAGTGTGCCAGGCCTGCTCTGTGCACAGGGGTATAGTAAATGAGGTAAAGTCTATGTTGATTAGTAGGATGTAAGCACTCCGATTTGTACAAATAATCAGCACCATGACTCCCATAATGGCATAAATGTATTCATGACCTATGTACAAATGACTTAATAAAAAATAAAGTTTCCTTCCCCATGGATTTGATAGTGTACTCAGGAGCAAAACAGCATGCTCAGGTTTGTATTGGGTGATAAGCACTATAGAGAAAATAAACTGGATCATACGGATAAACGGGAGCTACTAGGAGAGGGCGGTCAGAGAAAATGACAATTGAACTGAGCCCCCGAGGATAAGCAGCAGCCACTCCATGCTTGAGACAGAAGTAACAAGAAGTACAAAGGCCCTGAGGCAGGAACTAGCCTGGCTAGGTCCAGAACCAGAAAGGCAGCATGGCTGAGCAAACATCGGAAGCAAGGGGTGAGAAGGATGAGATGAGGCTGGGGAGACTGGCATGGTTATTCTAAATGTATTCAGAAGCCATTGTAGGGTTTTAAGTAGACATGACATGATCTAATATAATTCTCTTTGTCAAAAGCTTGAAAATAGCACATTATACAGTAATACTGGTTGGAACAATTAGGTGACGAGAGAAGAAAAATTAGCTGATGAACAGAAATTCAGGTTTAAATACTAAGTTTGACTTGGATTTACCTTTGGTTGTGTACATTGCCATAGCTCAACGGTGAACTAGGCAATCCCTCCTTTTCCTATCAAATAAGTAAATGTTAGGTCTGTCATTTCTCCATGTTCCTATCCTTAGGCCATTCTACAGGTTCATGACAAAGAAGTCCTTGCCTCTCAGCTGCTGGTGTTGACCGGGCAAAGGCTGGCTCATGCCCTTTTCCATACCCAGACGAAAGAAAGCATGGAGCTCCTGGCCAGGCTGCCCCCCACGCTCTGCACCTGGCTGAAAGCAATGGTAAGGAAAGCAATAGAAAGATGTTTTCTTAAATGACTATTAATAATAATAATTCTGAAGACAACGGGAATGACAATATTAATTTACTTAGTTCCCCCCCAAAAGCATTTTTATTGGGAAGTAACTGTCATAACTGCTCAGTCAGCAACAACTATTGTGGGGTTTTATTTATATAACTATTATTTTTGTGTCCTATTTGTAGGATCCCCAGGATCTTCAGAACACTGAAGTGCCAATCGCAACAACAGCCAAACTAGTAAATAAAGTAATTGAGCTTCTACCAGAAAACCACGGGCAGTACAGTCTGGCCTTACACCTTATTGACGCTGTGGATGCCATGTCCACTCCTTCCTCATGACACTCATCTCCTGGAAGGCGCCTACACTGTGTGATTGTGACATGAATTAGTGCATGGTTATTTTACATCATAAGATCTGGAATTTTATGGAGGGTGTGTCTTTCCTTTTTCTTTTGTAAAATAAATAAATATATATATAACTTTTAAAAAGTGCAATCCTGACTAAACTTCACTCCTTTGGTTAATACTAAAGATAAAATATAAACAAATATCAATTACAGTATAATTAATACAGATGTTTTACTGTTTATTTCTAATTCAAACACTTAGGTAGCTTTATTGTTAAACTTTGCTATTTTAAATTGATTATAATTTACAGATTATGTTCTTATAAGATTCTATATTTCATATCCAAAATGTTACTGTTGTAATTAAATGTGTTCATGTACAGTCACCATCAGTAGCGGGAGGGAAACATCCCACTCTCCTATTAACAAATGTTGAGAAGATGCTTTTGTTATCATACTTAGAATCCTATACAGAGCTGCTCCCTGGGAATTCTGGACGCTAAAAGGTTCCTTTCCCAGAGGTCCTGCTGTTGCCATCAGAGGAGGATGGCCTTGCTTGAGGAAGAAGAATGGGTTCAGTGTCCTGTTTATCAGAAAGGGCACTAAGTAGAACCCTTAACCTCTTGTACTTGCCAAAAGTGAGAATCTGAGAGCAAACAATGCAGCAGAATAATCATGTAAGTTAAGATTTGCTTCTTGCCAAGTTGCAAAGTTGTATCCGTATCATGTAATTGTAAAAATGTATTATCTTGTAAAACTTATGTAAAAACAGAGGCAAAGATACTAAAAATTTTAAGTCCAATTTTATTTTTCTTATAAGTATTTAGAAATGTCTACTTCTGGGATTTGGTCATGTTTTCAGTCCTTGGGAACAGTACAGAAAAAATGCTTAGTGATATTACAGCTTTAGCAAACCTACCTCACAGCTGGATTGCGAGGACAAAATACAACTAATTTTGTACCCTATAGTGCCTAGAGCAGTCCAAGTGCTAAGTATTTATTGGTTAAAACCACACTATAGCCACTCAGGAGGCTGGGGCAGGAGGATGGCTTGAGCCCAGGAGTTTCAGGCCAACCTAGGCAAGATAGCAAGACCCCTGTTTCCCAAAACAAACAAATAAAAAAATAAAAACTCTGTAAAAAGGTGCTGTAAGCGCTACAAATACTGAGTATTTATTACAGTGTATCTTTAGAATGCAGCCAGCCACACAGTGCAGTTTTTATCTGTCATGGATCACAATAGGTATTCATAGTAACTCACTGTGACACGGAAGTGTGTTTCTTGGCTTCCTTTTCGGAAGCCAACTCTAGCAGCTGTATAAAGTGGAGAAGTGTGTCCTTCAGGAACATACTCCTGATATTTGAGCTAAAAGATAACATCCAAATAAGAATTTAACTGGTTAAAACTTAATAATAACTATTTAAAATCTTGCAAGATCAATTTTTAACATCATCTTAAGTATTTTATTTGGGGTAAGGGCCTGTGAGTCTGAATGAGGCACACATTTTATACAGTAGCAGCATTGGAAAGGGCCTTAAATAGTCCAACCTTCCAGCCTCTGCTTAGATTTCCACTGCCCCACCCAGACACATTCTAAAATTCTTCTATAATATCTAACTTTATAGAAATAGTCACTTGTTATATATGTTCTCAGATACTAGTTCTTCCTGAGATTTTTCTAAGCACTCTGAAAGTAGTATGAATTTAAGGAAGTTGGTCAAAGAAACTTAGAATTATAGGCATTTTTAATGATTAAATCTTCAATTCTGTTATCACTTTGAGGGGATATGTACTAAGCATTTTAGATAATAAAACTGGTTAAACTTAACTCTGGTAGGACACATAAATCTGGGGATTGCTGAGAACAAGCTAAAATATGACTCAGAACCCTAACACGAATCATGAGTCTTTAGTCAGATTTGTTATCTTAAAATTTGTTATCTTAAAATTTAACATTCATAGAATTTTTAAATTGAATTCTGAGTTGTGTGGTTAAGAAATTCAGTTAAGTATTTTACTACTTTATGAAGGACATTTAAAATAAATGATAGGAAGAAAGAAAAATACTTACGCATACATTCTGTAACAATGAAAAGTCACAAATAGAGGAATTAGACTATGCAGAGGGGGTGGTGGGTGGCACTTACTCCAGTTATGGATGGGAAGCCAGTAGTCAGTAGTGTTTTCCTAGACACATGTTCACCATCCCCACATACCTTTCATTGAAGTACATGTTTATCTTGTTAAATTACAGTATATAATGCTGAAGGAAAACAAAAGTGTTCAAATAATGTCTGTATTGCAGGTGGTTGTGTTTAGATATAGGACTAGAGGGGCCAGGATAAATGTAGATAAAAGGGAATGAGTAGGGCGCCAGCCCCATATGCCGGAGGTGGCGGGTTCAAACCCAGTCCCGGCCAAAAACTACAAAAAGGGGGGAGGGCAGGGATAAGTATATAGCACCAAACTTATAAATGCTTTGCACTTTTGCAAAAAGAAAGAAGAATTTGGCCGTAGTTACAGAAATTTACCTATGATCAAAGTAAACCAATGTTACATTTTAATTGCCTTTTTTTTTTTTTTTTTTTTTTTGCAAGGACTGGGCTTGAACCGCCACCCCCGGTATATGGGGATGGTGCCCTACTCTTTGAGCCATGGGTGCTGCCCTACATTGCCTTTTTAAAATATGGTTAATTGCAATCTGAGATCACAGAAATCTGAGATTTAATAATACTAGGCTTACACTGAATGTAATGTTTTACTTAAAGAGTTGTTGTGGTCTACTTCATTTATAAGAAACAAGTATTTTTTGTACATCCACTTTAGTAACAAGGAAAGCCATCTCTCACCTGATAGAAATGGGTTTGCTGGGCTTCTCAAAGTCAGATTTCTGCTGAATAGAACTGGCCATCCTTAAGAGTTTAATCCAATATTGAATTGTTTATAAAATGTCTAATTATCTATTGTAATGCATTGTAAGTAGTGAAATTCTGTATATACTGCTATTTTCTGTGTCTGTTCATTGTTGGCAAACTTAGATATACATGTATATATTAGCGAAATAAATTTTCAGCTTTCATGTTGTTTCCTTCTTCCCCTCTTCAGTAACAGATTAGATTATTTTCTTTCTAATCCAATAAGAAAAAACTATCGTGTTTCCCCAAAAATAAGACACTGTCTTATATTTATTTTTTTTCCAAAAAGACACACTAAGGCTTATTTTCAGGGGATGTCTTCCTCTCCGTGCCAAAATGCATGGTGTGGCTGCATAGCCACGCCCATCACTAGGTCTAATTATGGGGTAGGGCTTATTTTGGGGGAAACACAGTAGCTATTCTAAAAAGGCTAATGTTCACTAATGAGCAGAATGAAATGACTTTTCATCTCAAGGGAAATACACCTTTGCTATTCCCCTTCAAAACCACTTTTTTCACATGATATCACAACTTCCACACCAACATCAATCAGTAGTTTCCCAGAATGCCTTTATTTCAGACATGGTAGAACTTAAATACTGAGTCAAAAATATTTATAAAATATAAAATATTTTCTGTTCAGTCATATTTGAAAACAAGCTAAATATGTGTGTCTGTTCTGAATAAGTATGTTATGATGTATAGAGATATATATATCCATCCACACGTATATATTTCTGCATATATATACACAATTCTTTCTCTAGTTACAGGAAATATTTCTTTTGTAATTTTGATTTTAACCATCATCCTCCATAATTTACTCTTCCATCTGTCCAGAGGGTTTAACCTACTGTCCGGAGGGTTCTTGGTCAGAGAGCTCTTAGCATCAGGGTACTATTTACCACTAACAACTTCTGCACATCGAGGACAGAGTGTATCTGAAGACTCAGCTGTATATTTCCAACAGCGGGGGCACTTTTCTTTGGTAGTTGGCATGACAATTACTTTGTATGAAGATTCTTCACAAATATCACCACCTATGAAAGAAAGGTACATGTTTCTGATAGGTCATTCAACTTGAATCACTATTTCTTTACAGGATTATAGGGGCTGCTTTTTCAGAGCTTTCTTTCTACTTCCTGCCTTGGTAAAGCTTGTCAGATACTTCCCCATTTGCCTATTACCTAAATAGCCAGGATAACAGGATCACAAAACTGAATAGAAGGGAGCGGAGTAATCTGAGACCCTGTGATGTGCTGAAGATTAACTCAGGATTAACTCATTTTTTCCCAAGTCATGTCTCCTGTATCTACTCAGGCAGAACAGCCTTTCTAGTTCTGACTCCAGGTATAGTTCTGATGAATAACTGCCTCTCCAATACATACCTGACGAAGAATTTTAAAAAGCCAGATTATAGGCTCAGCAACCGTAGCACAGTGGTTACAGCGCCGACCACATACACTGAGGCTGGTAGGTTCAAACCAGGCCCCAGCCAGCTAAACAACAATGACAACTGCAACAACAACAAAAAATAGCCCGGCATTGTGTTGGGCTCCTGTAGTCCCAGCTACTTGATGAGAGGCTGAGATAAGAGAACCACTTAAGCCCAAGAGTTGGAGGTTGCTGTGAGTTGTGATGCCATGGCATTCTACTGTAGGTAACATAGTGAGACTCTGTCTCAAAAAAAAGAATGGCTAGGTAGTATTTTAATTTGGGGTAGAAATTTTAGAAAGAAAATTTTAGATAGGAAATTTTAGAATCAATACTGGGGAAGAGTAGGCAAGGCCCACCAGTACTTGGGTACCAAGTATCAAAGGAGAGGGATCCAAAAGGGAAGACGACAAGTCAGACTAACTTCACATACAATGACTATTACTTAATCAAAGGACTCTCCCTCTTACAGCTTTCTGTTCCCAAGATGATCAGACAGGACACTCTCAAGAGATGGCTTAGTGACTTGGCTGTGGTTTACATTATTTCCATGGAAAGATGTATTTCAAAGTATCTATCTGACTTCAGAATAAATCTGGTCCACTAGAAGGTTGGAGATGACCTGTAATTATTCCTCAGATAGCACCTGTCAGTTTCAGCTCTCCCTTACCTTTTAAGTTGATTAGGAATGTCCCTTTAAGCTCAATTACATCTTCAGTCATCTCTCGTGGTTCCTGGGTTAATAAAGTTGTCTCAGAAGCCATCATCAGTTCAGCCAACTGAGAAGTACTGGAAGTCTCCTCAGCTTGTAGCATCTGGAAGTAAATATGTAAAAGTCATTGACTAAATCAGATTTTTACTGTAAACTGGGATTATAAAAATAGACACTATAAATTCTGTGTTAAATGAGGAACCCTTTGATGCTACTACAACCTGAGTTAATGCTATTAAATGCATCAGTTGTTACTAGTTAAAACTAAACATTTCCATCAACAGTATTAAATCAGAAAATACTCTACACCAGGTACTTCACTTTGCTTGATGCTGAACGTATCTTATTTCTAATTGTCACAAAAAACCTACATGGTGTTTACAAATGAGGAAACAAGCAGAGAAATTAACTTTGCTTAAGTTTCTCAACTAGTACATGATAGATCTGCAATTCAAGCCCAGGTCTATCAGCCTCAAAGTCCCTGGGTTTTTTCCTGTGTCATCCTTCCTACACTGGGAGAGGAGCTAAGATAGTATCTCACCAAAGAAAGCACTGTGCCTACCAAGGCGTACAATGGTGGCAATATGAATGATACACAGAACCCTTCAGAAGCACACTGTATTTAGATGTCTGGTGTATACTTTTACATTACATTTTTATTGTAATTTTGATTTTTTTTTTTTGAGACAGTTTTAACTTGGTCACCCTCAGCAGAGTGCCATAGCCTCAAACTGTTAGGCTCAAGTGAGATTCTCTTACCTCAGTCTTCCTAATAGCTGGGACTGTAGGTACCCACCACAACACCAGGCTATTTTTAAGAAATAGGGTCTCACTCTTGTTCAGATTGGTCTTGAACTCCTGAGCTGAAGGAATGCACCTGCCTCAGCCTCCCAGAGTGCTAGGATTACAAGCACGAGCCACCGTGCCCAGCCTATAATTTTGGTCTTTAAAAATGAATTTGTGGACAGCACCCATAGTTCACTGGGTAGGGTGTCAGCCACATACACCCAAGTGGTGATTCCAATCCAGCCAGAGCCAGC